GGCTGGAAAGTCAGAATATCCTCACGTCGCGGGACGGCGAGCGGGTGCACAAGACGTCCGTCGCGCCTTTGGGCCTCGAAAACCGATGCAAATCGCGTGCCGGGCCGCCTCAAAGCCGGTGCGATGGATGCAGCGCAATCGTGCGTCCAAAACGGCGCGCAAAAATCAATAGATAGACGCGGGCGACAGGTGCGGATTGATGGATGAAGTCGGCAACACCATGGATTTGGGTGGTGGTTGGTGGTGAGAAGGGGAGAGAGAGAGTTGGGATTTGCGTTGCGGGTTGGGGATTGGGGATGGCTACGTTTTGGAAACCAGTTAATTGCGAACGCAGGCGAGAGTCAAAATGTTGCAAGGCGAGGGAAAAAACGGGGCCCTGACCACCGTCTGGCAATTGTCCAGAGTTGCGTGGGAAATTTTATTATTAAAAACGAATTAGAGATCGGACTAGGCTGGGGGGAATGACCAAGGGGGGATTGATGCGATGGGATGGGACGGGCATGGGGATGGGGGAAACGGGAAACGGGAAACATCGAACACCAGACAGACACGATGGCCCCAGGAACCTCATGGTATGGATGGATCATGGGAAGGGGGAAAGCGAAGGGGGGGGTTGAGGGAGTGAGTGACTGCATGGGGCCACGAACCACGGACCACGAGCCAGAGTCAAAGGCAAGAGAGAGAGAAACGGTGAGAGACCAGAGAGAGTCAGAGAGCACATGAAGAGACAAAGAGAGAGTCGAGCTGACACGACACGACGAGACGAGACGAAACGAGACTGGCAAGCAGCGAGGCACAAAGGCACCAAACTAACCGCACCCAAAGGGCCAAGGAGACCGAACCGGGGGGAGCGAGTTGCCGTCGATGACACTTCAACCCCCCCCCTGTTGGTCGGCTCGGACTGTCAAGTCAAACCAACCTCAGGTTGCAAGTCAATCAACGATTGCCTGGGTCGGGTTGGGTGGGTTGGGGCAGGCACCGCAGGCAAAGAGAGGCTCAGAGCTGGCATATGACCGTGGAAAGGCGCGCCAGGGGTTTCGGTCTGTCCTGCAGCAGCAGCAGCAGCAGCAGCAGCAGCAGCAGGTAACCAATTCATCGTGACGGGGCCCGTCAGCCCAAAAAGGCACTTGCCCATCCAAAGCACCCAAAGTCCCAAAGGGGAAACCAGCTGGAAACTGGCCCACCTGCCTCAACAGCCAGCCAGGCAGCTCTTGTCTGTGTATGCGTCGGATACAGTGACTGTAACTCTGCCACAGTAAGTTGGGGAGGGAGTGCGCTAGTTAGTAAATCTCAAGTCAGGAGCCTGAGCCTGAGCCTGAGCCTGAGCCTGAGCCAGCGTCGTTGGCGCCAAAGGGGGAGAAGAGTCTCGGAGCGCTGCACAGTATCAGATTGAGGTCGCGACAACTGGGCTTGTGCAACTCTGATAGGACATACTAGCGGCAGAGCCTGGCGAATGCCCATGGCCAAGCGGACAAAGAGAGCCCCTGTGGCACCCCTGGGAATGCTGGATCCCACTTTGGGAGCTTTCCCCACGCCTAGGCCCAAATGAGCGTACCGCAGTAAGCCAGGGCTCCTCCCTCCCTGCAGCCCGGTATGCACTTGTGCCCGCCTGGCGCCAGAGCGCTTCTTTAACTTGAGTTAGAGTTCAGCCCCGTTCGATGCACGAATAGCCGCGAGCTGGACAGGGGGTCGGTCGGCTTGGGGTAGGACGAGCCAACTCCGGTCCAACTCTTAATCACCAAACCGCGATGCCGTCCTTGTTTGGACGACAATTGTCCATTTGCAATTGAATGCGATGCGCTTTGGTTATGGCCTTTTTTTTTTTCTCCCTCCCCATCTCTTTGGCCGCGATAAACATGGGTTCGTCCGATGGCGATTGATGACATGAAGCACCCTTGCTCATCACCTAGTCCAAGTAGCTTATTGCAGGTGCTATGCGCTATGGATGGAAGCTTAGTCTTGGTGCTTGTCACATCGACCAGGAGGCCACCATCTGCCACACATTGTGCTACCTGGCCTCGGTTCATACCTGGAGCAGTGGCGTAGCTTGCGCTTGGGTGGCAACAGCAGCCGGCTGATCATGGTAATTAGTGGCTCATCCGGCAATCAGGAGACTCGGTCGCATGTCTCAAGACCGGTAATGTTGAAAGCACCCGGGCATACTACTCGGTCGCTGCGGTCTCCTTCTCCTGCGTGCATGGTACTGGATGAGTAAGGAAAACAATGGTAGCCCGCGGAGTTCGTGACACGTTTGGCAACCAATTTGATGCCCTCCAATCTGGGCAAGCTGGAGCTGATTGGTGCGTAGGCGCGCACCCTGGAACTGTACGTACCGAATAGATCGACGCTAATGCGATCAGCTCTCGGGTGGTATTTTCGGGCACTGTACAGCTACGCGACGCACGACGTGGCTGATCACCGCGCTGGGAGATGCGTTGGCTGGCCGCCGTTGTTCAATACGCCAGTGCGTCGATGAAAGGCTTCGTGAGAATGTCAAGCAGATGCCTGCTCGTTGAAGCTGTTCGGTCACCAGCCCGATCGGTTCTGCTGAGTTACGTAGCCGGCCCACCATGTCCCGCCCGCAGCGTGCCGACAGCGCCGTCAAAACCCCGGCCCGGAACTGGCCACGAATTTGGAGACCCTTGGCCCGTGCACCCCGCGCCAGCCCCGCCTGGGCATTCTCTGCAGTACTCTAATCCCAGTGCCCGAAATGGTTCATTCATGGGTGTCATGGCTTTCGACCACTTCTGTCTCGGTTGCTGACGCAGCTTCGCACTTCGTGGTGCTGTCATATGATAGCAAAAAACGAGTGCCACTATCCATTCTTTTGAGATAGCGCCGTCATCGCTCTTATCAAGCATCGGTCATCAGCATGAAAGTGCCATGAGTGCCGTAATGTAGAAAATCAGCTCAGAATGCGAAAGTTCATGTGTCATAGGTTCACTGTCAAGAGCGAGTATTTCCCAACCACTAATTGAGCATATAAACTTATTTTGTCGATATTTAAGACCGTAACATCCCCTGCATCCGTGGCCAGGATTGGTCTCGGTCTTGGAGAATGTCTTTATCTTCACTTGGACCAAGGGATACATACCGAAATACTGTCCGCTCAGCCAGAGAGTCTGCCAAGATGAAATTCACTCGCTTCATAGCCGGATGCTTGCCTGCTTTGGCATTTACCGCCCTGTCTCACGAAGCGGCTACAGCTGCCTCGTTGATTCTGAACCTCCTGGAAAATATTGCTACATCCAACTCCCCTACCGAACCTTTCGAAGACCATGGGCAAGACCATGGGCAAGACCGTCAGGCTCTGGATATACTCCGCATCGCAAAGTTCAGGGGGAAGGCAAGGGAGTGTACCGAAATCACTGATGGCGAGTTTCTCGTTCGACTGAGCCAACACCTCGCTTTCGTGCAGCGGCCGGAGGAAACCAGGCACGAGGCATTGCTCCGCCTGGTTGAGTATCAGGCTGTCGGCCAGACTATGTCAGAGATCGTCCCAATTGACGTGGGTACCAGAGATCAGGGACTGGGCGTGTGTATGTGAGGCAACGCTTTCACTGTGAAGGATCCTTCGTCTGCGAAGCTCGTTGGAAGGGAAAGTCCGGTGCTGACTTTCGTCTCACTTTTCGTTTCAATGGCGCACTTGTTAGTCAGTCAGGCCATCGGTGGATGCAAACAATGTACTAGGATGACAGAGGAGTTTGGAAACCGAGCCACGGTTTCCATGTTCTGCTTCATCCCCCTTGTCCGCTTCATTGCCCACACCCACCTTCCCCAGACGGCAGCGGACATCCAACGCCGTAAGCAAAGACACGGAGATGCTCAGGCGCGGCCTCCTCGTAGAAGGCGAGGTTTTCACCAGCACGGTTCTTGTGGCTGTCCGCCGTCATCTCCCTCCCCTCTTCCTCATCCTCCCTGATCTGGATGTTGTTTTGGATTCTCTAGAAGACTGTAGGAGAAAATGAACCAGGTATAACTCTCTCTGGCCGCCGTCTACTTTGGTAACGTATGCCATAACCCTACTGGGTCACTAGGGTGAATGCGAGGAAGCAAGGTCTCTTCGCATTCCAGTAAGCGGCAGCAATAGAGGTTCTCCTGAGCGTGGCACTCGTGAGAGCGGTGAGTCTCACCACAGCCATGACAACAACGGCCCTCCACCAGGCCAGTATATTGTCTTGGGGCTCGTCGGATGGAGGGGCCATCATCGGTATAGAGAAGGATGCCCTCTGCCGTGATTGTAACCGACGCAATATCGGCTCCCGACACCACTTGGAACAGTTTTCGGTGACTGAGTCTCCGCCAATCGCCACACGCATGATGGTGCAGCTCTGACCTGACTGTTTCGTACCAGATGCTAGATTGACTGGGTATCTTGCCCTGGCCAATCGGTTTTGCCTTGGTCATTCAACTGGTAGGGGCAGACGTAGATGACCCTGAATACTTGCTCGCGATCACGATATCCATCTTGTTACATACTGCCAATGGCTACATTCAATGTGAACCTGGGTTTCATGTCACCTGCGAAGTATAGTACTACCCCAAGGTAAGTTTGCAGTGTTGATGGATCGGGATACGGCACAGACTCCGCATGGGGGCGCCACAGTACCTCACAGATAAAGTAAATTAGGTACCTAGTGAAGTACCTAGATACCTCAGAGCGTGGGGCCAAAGTTTGGACACCTGGAGATGGACGGTTGAGGTGGGGGGTCCCCTGTAGCACGGCCAATGTACCACTTTAAAAAAAAGTTCCGGCCGTGAACATGGAGCTGGATTTCAGGCGCAAGAGGCCGGGGCCGGCTGGTCCAACGTCCGGCGGCCATCACTTACTTTGACTTCGATTTGCCGCCCCCGTTCCCCAGAATATCCTCTCCCCGAGCACTTGTAGCCGTCCGGGACAAAGGACACAGATTCACACGGCAGCCATGGCGTCGCAGCTGCTGGTCTTCGACGTCAAGGAGAAGGAGACGAACTCGCCCCAGGCACCCAGCTTCCCCCAGCCGAACTCCTCGACCACCGGCTTCCCCGAGCACAAGAAGCGCACCCGCATATCCGCCTTCAAGCAGCAGCGCCAGGACAGGGCCTCCAACGACAAGGAAAGGGAAAAGAAGCCGCACGCACCCTTCTCGTCCTCCGATCAACAGCATGGGGCCCCATTTTTGGCGGCAGCGACAGCGACAGCAGCAGCACCGGCCCAGGCCCAGGTAGCACAGAACCCCCCCGCCATGACGGAGAAGCAGCGTATCGACCGCGAGAACAGCCAGAGGCTAGCCTCCATGTCGACCGCCGAGATCGAGGAGGCAAGGCAGGAGCTGTTTGGCGACCTGGATCCCAAGGTCCTGGAGATGCTCCTCAAGCGGGCAAACCTGGAAGAAAGGACCGGGCCGTCGCCGTTCGACCAAGACGGCGGATCAGCGAAGCCCCCGCCCGCCATCCAATTCCAAGATACCACGGAATCGAAGGCTTCCAAATCATCCAGCGGGTACAAGAAGGTACATTTCGAAGATGCGGCAGATGAGGATGCCCAGTCGTCCTCGGCGGCAGCACCACAGAGGCAACCTGAGACTCCAACATCACGGACGGAACCCCCACTCGACGCCGGCGACCAAGAAGCCCCGACTATACCCCACGACCACGATCACGACCAGGACGACCTCCTGGCCGCCAAACCGCACTGGCCCCAGGCGCCCGCACCGCCGGACCTGGACCCGGCCGACCCGGACTTCCTCGACGCGCTGCACAAGAAGTACTTCCCGTCGCTGGCGGCCGACCCGTCCAAGCTCGCCTGGATGGCGCCGCTCCCGACGCCCAACTCGCCCGCCGACCAGGATTCGCCCTACCACCCGGCCCAGGCCTCGATCCCCGTGTCGCAGCTGCGCTTCGACTTCCGCGGCGCGCTTCTGCCGCCCCGCATCGCCCGCGCCGTCCCCGTCAACCGGGGGCTGCACCACCACGGCGAGGCCCCGGAGGCCGCCGGCTACACGGTCCGGGAGCTCGGCCGCCTGGCCCGCAGCGCCGTCCCCGGCCAGCGCTGCATCGCGTTCCAGACGCTGGGCCGCATCCTGTACCGGCTGGGGCGCGGCAACTTTGGGCGCAGGGGCGATGCCGTGGCCGACGGCGTCTGGAGCGCCGTCGTCGAGGACAAGATCATGGAGAGCCTGTGGGAGGAGGCCGGTCCCACAGACGAGGACAGTGCCGCCGCCGCTGGGGATGCATCGCAGAAGGACGGCGACGAGGTTACTCCGCTGGGCGGCCGTGGACACAGGAGCGCGCATGCGTTCGCCGTCGAGGCTATCTGGCTGTTCGAGAAGGGCGGATGGGGCCAGGCCGTGAAGAAGGAAAGCTACGTGTGAGAAAAAGCAGTTGAAATAATACCCCCAACTTGAATCCCACAAACCAGTGTCAACCATTCGTCGCGCAGATTTCGTCTGTCGACTGTCTTTTACTTCCGGACCTCGTCTATCAAGTTTGAAATCCTTTTTTTATTTTTTTTATTTTTTTTTTATTGGATTGGATTGGATTGGCTACCGCCGTCTATTCGGAAATCGTAACCTCATGAATGGGTGAGGCTTGAGGAGAAAAAGGTGAAAGAAGAAATTTGCAATGATTTTAGACTATTACAACACGACCGAAGAAATGACGTCCATCGCGCCGGCAACCAGGCCACTTCTTGCCCGGCCTGGCCGGACCAGACGTGTGAATCCCTTTTTGCGCTCCGCTCCATGGGCATCGAGTGGACTAGACAAGCCCGTCCATTGCCCGTTCCTCCGGAATCAGTAAGCCGCCAGCGCAATTATCAGTCTGGCATTTTCTCAATGCCCCTTGGCATCGGACGCTATTCCGTTCCCCCTGGGGGAGGGCTTCCCTCCCTCATATCAATGAGGATTGCCTGTCACCGCTGACATGCACACTGGTGCTTCCTTCCTCACCTGGCCAGCGCGTCCACAACTTTTTCTATCTAGGTTCGGGGTCGTTCATACGAGGTTGTTTGGTTGTTGGAGTGGTTCGTGGGTACGGAAAGGAGGAGAGGTCGTTCTAAACGAGGAGGACGTAAAGGGTTGGTGAAAACTGCATCGGGCTGGTCCTCTGCGTGGCGGAGAGAGTACATGTCAATTACATTAGAGGAGAGAGTCGAGGCGGGTGAAGACGCTCAGGCAAGCGGCGACGACCTCGAGTTGTAACTCCTTGTCCTTGCCCTTGGACATCTCCTGTCGTAGACGTGTCAGTACACATGCCTTCTGTCCTCGGCGCGCTAGTAGAATGTCAACAAACCTCGTTGATGGCCTGCGGGATGTTGGCGCCAATGCCCTGGCTGCCAACCTTCTTTCCAAACGGCCACTGGCTGTACTCGGCCAGGATCTCGTCCGTCTGGGTAAAGGCACGCTCGCGCGCCTCGTGGCCGAGGGTGGACAGCGCGTTCTCGAGGACGTTAGCGGCGTAGGCGGCGCAGACCATGGCGATGGTGCGGACGTAGCGGAACTCGAGGTTCTCGGGCAGGAACTGGGAGCCGGGCAGCACGACGGTGCGTTGGGTGAGCACGTTCCTAACGCGCCGGCGGATCTCCTCCTTGGCGCCGCCGTCGGCGACGGGGTGTGTGGCCATGTCGAAGAGGAGGAAGTTGCGCTTCTCGGTGCGGAGGATGCCCTTGTCGACGAGGCCCTTGCAAAGCCGCTCGCGCACCTGCTTCAGCTGGTAGCCGATCTTCATCAGGTTCCAGGTCTCGCCTGGTACGGGGATGCAGCATTAGCACACACATACATAACACATGAACAGAGACGCCCGCACACATGTATATGTACTGGCAGGTCGGGGAAGGGAAGGGGGGCACGTACCGCTCATGAGGTCGATCCACGAGCTGACGCTCATCTTCTCGCTGGCCTTCATCAGCTTCAATGCCTCGTCCAGCAGCACCTCGCCGGTCAGTGTGTCGTCGATGACCTCGATGACGCGGTCGGCCAGGGGAAAGCGCCGCCTGGAAGGGTCCTTCTGCATGCTGATGCGGCCGCGGAAGGCCAGCTCAATGACGATGCAGCCACGGAGCGCATAGCTGATGTTGTCGTTCCAGAACGAGAGGTAGCCCTGTGGGGTTGCGTCGTCAGTACGGCAAGGCTGGGCGCGCCGGAGCGGAGGGAGTGCGCCACGGATGGCGGGTGTTGGTTATGGGTGTGGTGGGATGGTGTACGGAGTGGTTGTGGTGTACGGAGTAGTAGGAGTAGTACCTGCTTGTCCTTCAGCCCCAGCAATATCACCTCCTCCATCAAGGTCAGCTTCGGCTGCTTGCTCCTCTCGGCGCTCTCGCTGATGTCGCGCGGGTCGAAGGCGATCTTGTGGCCGTTCTCGCTCGCCTCGTAGCTGGTCTCGGGGCCGCTGTCGCGCACGTTGGTTGCCGAGGCGGACCTCGAGGGACCGTTGCCCTCCTCGGTGCCGGCTCCGCCCCCGGCTCCACGGCGTCTCGTCAGGCCTGACGACATGGTCGGTCAGATCGAATTGTGGTGTGCCGTGGTCGTTCGCAGTCGGGTCGGGTCGAGGGGGGGTGCGAAGGGGGATGGGATAGGGGTGCGTTCTGCAGATCGGTTGGGAAAAAAAGGTGTCCTGACGATTGGCGCGCGGCGGTGGGATACGGAATCGCAATGTGGCACGTGTGGCCAGGGGCGACTCGAACTCGAGTTCGGCGTGTCTCTGGGCTCCGGCGGAAGAAGGGGGGGGGCGCCAACAGGTTCCCGATGCGATACGCCCAGTCGAGAGGAGAGGACAGGCGAAATGTCTCAATTGCTGCACCGTGTCGGGTGCGGGATGCAACAGAAGCCCAAGAGGAAGAAGAAGAAAAATCTCCTGGGAAGCACGAGGCGGGACGGGAAGGCAAAAGCCAGGACCAGGGTGTGGTGTGGTAGAGGCAAAGAGAGGTACGCGTTGGAGGGCAGAGAGTCGGAAAGTCAGAGAGTCGGACAGGCAGTTGGCTGACTTTGGAGGTAAGAGGCAGAGGTAGAGGTAACTTTTAGAGTGCACAGCGGCCTGGAGCTTCTAACTTCAGGCCGATAGGGGTGTGTGTTGGTGGTTGTGGATATGGGCATGGGCGTGGATGGGCGTGGATGGGCGTGGATGGGATGGGATGGATGCGGTGCGCGGATTGCAGCAACGACTACAGACAACAACAGTTCAGTACGGCGCAGCGACAAATTCCTCCCTCCCCAAAGAAGACCCCCAAAGAGAGGCAGAAGTGCGTTCGATCAAGCCCAGCTGCTGGTCCGCGTCTCCTTGTCTGTTCTGCTCTGCCAGGGCTGCCTGGCCGTGGCTGTCTGTCTGGCAGTCTGGTCAAGTTATCCTCGTGTCTGTCCCGGGTGTCTCCAGTCGGTCAAGTAACGCCAGGTCGGCGGCGGTCTGTCTCGTCTTCTCATTGTGTCTTCCCTCTTTCTCTCTCTTTTCCTTCCCTTCAGCCTCTCAGCCGTAGCAGAAGCAAGACGTTGAGATGGAAAGTGGAACCTCTACCTCCTTGAATCAATCGACTGGCAAGCCTGGGCGGCGGGACCGGAGGCGGCAGCTCAAGGCCCAGAGCCCAATCTACTATGTAAGCCTCGAGCCAGCAGCACTTCATAAAAGGTACCAACTCCCAAAGGGTCGGACCCTTTGGTCAACCCATCGTCACCTTTTCATCCCCATGTGACCCAGATTGCTGTACTTCTGGACCAGGCTTGCCAGGACACTGCAGCAACCGCCCAAGTGTATACGGGCTACTCCGACTCTACGGGTTTTCTACAAGATGCGCACTGCCCCATGGTGCCGAATTCCGAGTCCTGGTTCTGTCCTGTGCTGCCCTGCAGGTCATGCATGCCACACTCACTTCGCCATGTCTCTGCCAACACGACAAACCGATTGGGCGCATCTCAAGAGAGAGCACTGGAGGCTGGACCAGGACGCAGGACAGGGCTGGGGGCTTGTCTGTTCAAGAGCGGGGCAGCAATCTGCGCCAGCGACGGCTCCTTCGTTATGTGGGCACCAAAATTAGACCATCGCATACCTAACGTTAGCCACCATTTGTCACATCCCCTCTGTGAGGGTTAAATTTGCAGAGCAACCTATCTATACTAATATACATCGCTTCATATTCGATTTCGAGGCGAGGTACGCTACTTCATGACGCACATGGATGTCAGTGGTAGTATGCAGATTCGCGTACTTGAATGTTTGAATTACAACTACTCACTGATCATGTTGGCATTCCACAGCTTCCTTCTTCTCGACATCGTTGGTATGCCCTTGGATTTGCGTCTTCTTTGAACATACATTTGTCATGAAGGAATGCACTCATTGCGAGTGTGCGTTGGTCAGTAGGTTGGAGCACCACCCGTTTCGCCTTATAAAAGCCGGTTGTTAGCAAGCTTCGCCCGGTCGCCTTGCCAAAGCGAGTGTATAACACGGGCCAGATGATTCAATATCTCATAAACGAGCTTCGATGGTAGCGAGGAGAGTAAAAGCTCCACTTCAGAGGAGTATCAAGAAAGAGAGGAACGTAGAATAAACATTTATCCTGCCTCGTGCTGGAAGATGTAGCCACCTGTTACAAAGGGTGACAGATATGCTACCTTACTGTATGAGGATTTGATAGACTGCAAGCGGCCATTATAGCTGAACATAGAAAATGGGGGCATGAAAATTTGAATGTGTATAGGCAAATTTGCAACGACTTCACGTGCCAGCAATATGGCAGTAGGGGCGTAGTCGCCTCTGGGAGCCCATGCTTGCACAATGCTCCGGCTATTTCCATTATGGACGTCGGCCGTAGCCCAACGAGACAACGAGCTCTATTCATTATCATTCAATATAACAGTAGGTTAGTCTCTGTCTCTCTGTATGTCTGCTTGTCTGTTTGGCTGTTTGTCTCTTTGTCAGTCTGTCTGTGTCTCCATCTCTGCGCGACTCGTCGCAGGCGGAGTTGCAATGATCATGCTACACCAGGTCGGCATGCAGGCTACAGCTAGCTCACTACATTTGGTCACCAAGAGCAGTTTGATTCCGGGAGCTCTATTCCAGGCAATTTGCTGCAAACATTCGGCAATATCAACAATGACCGAGGTGATTTGGCCATATTTGCAGGTGGGTTGCCGCTTCAATGCGGGGGTATTCGCAGGACAAGCTCCCTACTGGGTATGGATCTCCGCCCCGATACATATGAGTACGACGCCCGGTGTGTTTGTCCTTAGGGTGGATGGAATGTTGCACTCATTCAACACACGACTTGAACTGTTTGAATTCAAACGAGTCTCTTCTTGTATACGTGAAATTAAGTTGCAAAGCTCAGGTTCATGCACTAAGACGCAACTCTGGCAAAGCTCCTGATAAACCACATCGACAGAATCATGCGAGCACTCCGGTATTATGGCCCCCAGGACCTCCGTTTGGATTACGATGTGCACGAACCGGATTGTCTTCCGCATCAAGTCAAAGTCCGACCCTCGTTCTGCGGAATATGTGGCTCGGACCTTCACGCGTATTTGTCGCCGACGGCAATACCTTTCAAGGACACGCCTCATCCGATAACAGGCGAGACATGGCCCGTAACCCTAGGTCACGAGTTTTCCGGCGATGTCGTACAAGTCGGATCAGAAGTGCGGAACGGACTTGCGATTGGGCACAGAGTGGCTGTACAGCCCACCATTTGCTGCGAAAAATGCCCACCCTGTGGGCAAGGGTTGACCAACTGTTGTGATCTTTTTGGTTTTGTTGGCCTGACAGGCTGGGGCGGTGGTCTTTCGGATTATGTGTGCGTGGATGCGCGGTACGTGTTCAAGCTACCAGACTCAATCCCGTCCGATATAGGAGGTGAGTTCATTGCGCGAGGGCGGTCTTTCACAGTCACGACGTTATGTGCTAAGTGATTCCCACCCTAGCACTCGTAGAGCCACTTGCTGTGGCCTGGCATGCTGTTGACCAAGCTATCATCACGCCGGGAGACAGTGCTCTGGTTATGGGTGCAGGTCCAATCGGCCTGGCTGTGGTCCAGTGTCTCAAGGCTCGAAAAGCTGGGCAGATAATTGTGGTCGAAATAGCGGAAAGTCGGAAGGATTTTGCCCGGCAATCTGGAGCCACCACCGTCATTGACCCTCAGACGGAAGATGTGGTCTCCAAGTGCAAGCATCTCTGCAACGGCCAGGGGCCAGATATAGCGCTTGATTGCGCTGGAGTCGCTGCTAGCATTAACGCTGCCTGTCTAGCTGTCAGGAAGAAAGGTCTGATTATTAATGTCGCTCTCTGGGAAGAGCCGGTTCCCATTGAGGTTAACAACCTTATGTTTGGGGAAAAGAGACTTTCTGCAGGTGAGGTTCCTTGGTATTGCTTCCATGTCGAACCAATTTTTACTAACTTTCTAGCCCTGAGCTACACCACGGTGGATTTCCAGAATGTTATTACGGCTCTGGAGGGTGGATTATTAAATGTGGAAGGCATGATCACGAAGACAATCACCCTCGACCGGGTGGTTGAGGACGGCTTTCTAGCGCTCATGCATGAGAAAGATAAGAACATTAAGGTACTCGTAAATGTTAGGGCATAGTGACATAGGGTGGGAATGGGGTTTGTTAAAATTTAAACTCGAGTTTAAAAATAAAGATTTTTATAATATAAATATAATATCGAAAATCTCCCTTTTTTGTTTTTTTTCTTTCTCCGATTAAAAGGCCCGCAGATGTGGTCTTAATCTAAACGTGGTAAAGATTTCACAACTGAACTTCGGCTGGTGTTACAACATGCATAACTACTGTTATAGCAACTTTCAGGTCATTAAGGGCGGATAGTGCAGCTCGCCCATTACGCAGGCTGTAATGATCCACCCCACGGCTACATACATGATAATTTTCTTGTCTAGGCTACTCTTGGTTCTGATCTCCCATTCAGGAATCCAATACCGAGACCGAAGCATCGTTCTATCACGCGTAGCTAATACCTACAACCGTGCATATGCAGGCTACTGTGGATAGTCGCCGCGTCTTCTGTCCAGTTTAAGTGGACCTTACCACGACAGATACCTGAACTATATGCAAGCTTCTAGATAGAGGCAGCAAAACTAGACTTAAGCGGTGACGCTTGCAAGAAATACTAATAAGTTAGCTTAGTTGTACAGTTGTATATTGAAGTCTATTTAGTTTACTTATAAAAGACCTGATTTAAGCCATTGGTGGTGTTTCTTCTATTGAAATTCGGATAGGGGCATTCAGATGTAGGAAAACTAGGCACTGCAATAGCTCCATGAACTCTCGACACCGTAGAAATGGCCGTTGTTCCAGCCAGGCACCTGAGTGCCGAAGGAGGCATCGTACTGCTGGGCAAATAGCTTGCAGTAGGTACCCTTGGCAACACCGTCCTCCGTCAGCATGAAGGCGTTGAAGAATATGCACTTGCTTGGATTATAGCCGAAGGCGCTCATGAACTTGGAGAAGAAACCAGAGTTGACGTTTGCGGAGTTCTGCGCAGCAGCGTAGGTAGCACAGACATTGACGTCGAAGACGCCCTTGAACATCTTCTCACCAATGCAGGTTTTAGGGTGGTCGTGAGCACCCAAGCATTGTTGTGGTTTTGTCCAACCGCTGGGGGTGGCTGGGGTGGTGGTGTTGGTCTTCTCATAGCCGTTGGAGCCGGTAATGACAACGTCGAATCCGTCACGGGTCTGGCCGAAATTTACGGCGGCCCCGGGTTGGACACCTGAGCCCCAGAGGGTGCATTTATAGTTGGCGATGGAGGAAACATCCTCGCCGGTGCAAGAACACCTTTCAGGGTTCCATTCCGGGTCACGCTCAATGTACAGGTTGAATGCAGTGCAGAGGTCGGTGCTGTCGCACTTGTCGGCACAGGTCTGTACGTCGTAGCTCTGCAGCGTGTAGAGGCCCATGTAGCTGTTGGCGTTGACGGCGGCGTTGAGGTCCTTGAAGGTTTGAGTGTAGCCCTTAGGGCTGCCAGCGCTCTGGGCCATCCTGTGGTAGACCTCGTTCTTTTCGAAAGCATCCGCCGTGTCAGGAGTGGTTTTGGGCCCGAAACCTAGCAATTGAATTAGCTAATGCGGTAAACTGTCAAATTGAGTCTCATAGGTGCCTTACCATCTGGCTGGGGAGCACAAGGATCCTCGGGGTTGATCTGCAGAGAACAGATATGTTAGCTATTCGGGTTTCAAAATCTTCTATACAAGTTAGTTATCAATTCTTGTGTTGAATGTGCTTTATAGAAGGTCTGGTTGAAATGCCGCTTCCAGCTCATCAGAACTGTCTCCACTTTACTAGACTGCGAGAAAATACATAAGGCGGAACGCTGGGAGTACCGACAAAGCCACAGAAGGTGCCGATCTCGTATGGGGTTGGACAAGCTTGATCAGAGGTGAAAACAAATGTGTTCGTCCAGCTCACAGGTGTGCATGTTGAAGGAACACCGTTGCTTGTAGTGGGAGGAGCGGTGGTTACAACCGGGCCGCTGGTAGTAACCGGCCTGCTCGTGGTGGTGGTGGTGGTACACGGGGTTGAGGTCGGTCGGGCGGGCGCCGAGATGACAGGATTCCCATAGTTCTTGGAGCAGGCAGGGCCCCATCCCAAGAAGCAGAAAGTGCGCTCCTCAAGGTCTCTCCTCTCGGCGGCGTTGGCCGCGGCTGTAGCAACGCCGATTACGGCTGCAGTGGCGCTGGCTACGGCAGCGGTAGCATTGTAGACTCCGGTCTGAGTCCCAATGAACAGAGGAGGGCCGGTGATACTAGGGTCAGGAGCAGCATTGATGATGTCAAAGTTGACAACTTGGGGAGCGGCTGCTGGAGAGCCAGCCGCGAGGCCTGCTGCTCCGAGAAAGATGAGTGGGCGCATAATGATCAATTATACGGATCAGGAATTATAAAGGGGAGTGTAGGTCAAGCGAAGGTTGTTGAGGTGGCAGTTAAACTGTAGCCAAAGTCGAAGATATCGAGCCGCTTTATAGTCAAACAGAGACATGTACGGAATATTCGGTAGAGCGTGCTACGGGAAAAGCATTGATACCTCCTGCGGCTGAGATATTGGATAGGTCCATTGACAAGATGCAGGTCTAGTATGATGTTGTCTAGCAATAATGGCCTGCAGTTGGATGTGGACTCCTTGCAGATTTGTCGCTGTCCATCGGATGCACCTGATTTCAACCAATGTGCGGTCTGTGTGCTCGTATAGGCACTGCAGCATGCAAGATGAATCCATGTTCCTAGGCCGAATATGGCGACGAGCCAACAAACTCTGAACTCAGTCTCTTGGGGTGGGTCGGCGGCTGAGGTCGTATCTTCCGGTTGTAATATTTCTCAGGTTGGCCAACTTCCAGGGTGCCTCTCGTCGGTTATCAAGCCATGGGCTGTGCCAAGACCGGGAGAAAGTTGTAGAATTTGGTGACCCTTCCAAGCGCATTCCAGTCACGGTTGCTAGATATCTGGGTTGGATTTATTCTTTATTTTCTTTTACAACAAGAGCTTGCTGTGAGGTCACCCGCACCGAGTGACCGCAGCGATCCATTCTGCATTCTTGCATCTGTCTGCACGAGGCTATGAGCTGACGAGACCAGCCAAGTCCCAGAGATTCCTGGTATTGCTTTTTTGAGCTACACCCACCGCTGAGCTGCAGAAAGCCAGCAACGCTCAATGCCTGAATACGAGTGCCACTGCATAAGGCTTTGGCGTCCTCACGTGGCCGGAGTCGGACACATCAAAAGCCATACATGGCTGATTGCAGAAGGTTGACCAGGCGAAGGCGTGCCGTCCAGCGCCGTGGCGCCCTTCTAGCACTCAGCGTGCTGGCCGTGTTTAGTGCAAGGTACCCGCTTCCCATGCGGCAGTCTAGGACTTAAGCGACTAGCGAGAGATCTGCAATGAAATGTGGAGCTGACTAGGACTGCAGACTAACTCAGGACCACTCGGTCCGTCGATACCCTCGAGCTATCAATGGTTTTCTATGTCTATTATCCGGGGCTGAGCCAACAGAATGGCATCCGTACTAAGGGTCTTTGCTTCGTGCTCCCTCACCGCCCAGGAGCATGTTGAGCCTGCAGGTCTGCGTGTGAGCTGAAGTAACTTAGGCGCAATGCAGAGGTTCGTGCACAATACCAAGCTGTCCCACTCTCAAGCTGCCCCGAGTTCTATAGTAGTTGGCGAAGTCATGGAAGTTTTACTCCTTTTACGAGACGCCTTTCACGCCTCCCTACATCACCTCACCACCGAAAACGGCATTTAAATATTCTTTTTTCTACTGGTTTCTTTCGCATCAAACAATGCCCATGCAAGCGCTCGACGACCACATGGTTGGGCGCCAGGCAGCGAACCCATGCTGGGGTCAAGGTTGCGCCACCAGGCGCCATGAGCGCGACGCAGGGGTTTCTATGAATCAATAATGATGCAGTGCGGCATCATGCCACTTATAGGAACTCCGGCGGTGAATTCCAGACTTTCGGGTTAGTCAAACATGTCAATACTTTTGCATTACACCGCTTGCGATCTCGTTGCTGGCACATGTAATTACTATGACATGTATTTCATAACATGTCGATAGATAATCACACAGGTCTTGCCCACTAACAGAATCCTGGTCTTTTAACAACACCGATATCAGCCGGAAGAATAGTCTCGCAAAATCTTTCCGTTCAAGACATTTTCTTTCCTGGATTGCCACTTCTTCTACTTCGTTCCAAGTTTTCGAGCACCGGTTCTCCGAGGCGACGGAATCAGAAATTCCCAACCCACTCCGGTAGAGACTCCTTCTTCGCAGGGTCGCCGCCCCTTTTCTCATCAATCTTCAGCTCAATACCATTTTTTCTATACCACGCTCTCCCTGCAGAAGTGCCTTCATAGAAGACCTTGTCTTGAGTGCATTTCTCGCACCGGATTGTGAGGTACGGGTACGGTTTTCTGTAGACATGCTCGGGTGTGCTGAGCCCGCAGTCGCACTTGTGCTCTTTGTATAGTGTCCATTCGCTTGTCGGGCCGCAGCCTGTGCAGTATTGGAGTAAGTGGATCCGTTTACACATTGCTTGGCATGCCACTGGGTTGGCGAGAGTAGAGTATATGTTGGCGTCGCATTCAACGCAGGACCCTGGAGGTTTAAATCACAGATCGCCTGGTTGGGACTTTGGCCGCAGGAGGCTACCCAACGATTCATTGTTTCGGAGCTCGGCAGCACTTGGTGAAGCTCCCGCACAATGAGATCTCAGGATACAGAACAAAGACAGTTGACCCACCTAATTATGACTTCTCATGAGAACAAAGACATCGGCTGGGCCGAAGAAAGCAAAGGCATGTCTTGCACATCGTTAGAACAACAAAGTTTCACAAACAAGGGGCAACAGTGTGCTACGCCACAGGGCAGCCGTTGAGGATAGACTCAAACATCACTTTCTAGATTAATGCAGCTGTGTAATAATGTCCCGTCCATTACACAAGATGGCCGACCATAGACTTACGAGGAGGCTAGGAGAAGTTTGCAGAACTCGATTTGGTTAAAAGCTGTATATACATCGTCCTGGTGGCGTCCCCTCGATTGGTTGGTTCCGAGTTAGCCACATAGAGACCAAACGTATGAACAGAGTTTACCCCAGGCGCTGTTCCCACCGCGAATACACATCCACGATCTCATAGCCTTCACCTGGAGACTGCTGCTTTGAATCCGCATTATCGCCCGGGGGGCAGGGGAAGCAGGGTCCCGACAATGGCATCGGTATTGGGAGAAAGCAGAGATCTAGCCGCTTGCAGCGCTTCCGTCGACCTGTCGCCCTCGCTCCAAAACCCACGGTACATGCATGTCTGCACCGCAATGAGGTGCGTCGTAGACGGTGGCATTGGCGCACCCGTCCTAGGCTCCTGGCTTTGTGAGCAGAAGACAAGTGTGAGGGGCTTTTGAGAGAGGAGCCACAATTGGCTGTAAATCGTCGGTAACTTGCCGCAATCAGAATCGATGAGCTTACAACTCTATGGGAATGGAACCAAGATGGCCGGCCGGCCACGCGGGCTGCATCTTGGGAGCAATAACATAATCCATACCACGATGTACAGCGAGCGTCAAGGGG